GAGGCAGAGAGGCAGAGAGGCAGAGAGGCAGAGAGGCAGAGAGGCAGAGAGGCAGAGAGGCAGAGAGGCAGAGGCAGGAGGATCTCTGTGGGTTTAAGGTCAGCCTGGTCTACATAGTGAGTTCCAGGTTGGCAAGGGCTACGTAGTGAGACTCGGTCTCAAAATATAAAAACTATGAAAAAATTAGAATAAATGCATTTTGTGCTGGTTCAACCTGAAACCCTTCATCTGAGGAATAGTTCACTTTGTAGAGGACTTGTCCTGAGTTCCAGCTCCAGAGTCACATAAACCAGGTGTCCTAGTTAGGGCTACTATTGCTTGGACAAAATATGACCAAAGCAGCTTGGGGAGGAAAGGGTTTATTTGGCTTACACATCCACATCACGGTTCATCATCGAAAGAAATTAGGACAGGAACTCAAAGAAGGTAGGAACCTGGGGCAGGAGCTGATGCAGAGGCCATGGAGGGGTGCTGCTTACTGGCTTGCTTCCCCTGGCTTGCTCAGCCTGCTTTCTTATAGAGCCCAGCACCACCAGCCCAGAAATGGCACTACCCACCATGGGCTAGGCCCTCCCCCACTGATCACTAATTAGGAAAATGTCCTGTAGATTTGCCAGTAGCCCAATCTGATGGAGGCTCTTTCTCAACTGATGCGCCCTCCTTTCTGATAACTTCAGCTTGTGTCAAGTTATATAAAATTATCCAGTATGCCCGACATGATGGCACCTGCCTGTAATTCCTTCATTGCAGAGGTGGAAGCAGGAAAATCAAGAGTTCAAGATTCTTCTTGATTACATAGTGAGTCTGAAACCATCTTGGTCTACATAAGAACCTTGTCTTTTTTAAAAGATAGGTATATTTTGTATATTTCAGAATATCTGAAGTTATGATGTGAGTATATATACACACATATATGTGCACACACACACGTTTGTGTGTGTGTGTGTGTGTGTGTGTGTGTGTAATCAGTAGGAAAAATGAATAAAATATTTACTGTTTCTGGTGCTTAGTCACTGAAATCTGATTTGCCATTTCTACTTAGCACAGACCATGCTTGCTTGTAACCAATCACCTCTCCAATGGGCAATAGTCTCACCTGAGCCCATGCTTGGTCATCTCCTATCTAGAACTTGATTTGACCCATGGGAGGACAGAGGGGAAAGGTCTCAGTGGCCTGTTTGACTATCTCCTCCCTGCTCCCTCGCCACCTGGGTTTCAGAAAATTCATGCCAAGGCAGCCTGTGTTTTCTTACCCTACCCAGAGAGATCAGCCTACTCCGCGCTGGCCGCCTCCCACCCACTTCCTGAGCCTCTAGCGGTGGACCCCTCCCAGGGGCTCACCACCTGGGCCATCCTGCAGTTCCTGCCAATGTTGACGGCCTTCATAATAGTTTTGAAACTGTATCGGTAACAATGAGTGTGCCATGCCAGGCATTCTGCTAACACAGGAGACACATCTTACCTAATCCTTCCTAACATCTAGAGGGCTGGAACCATTGGCAAATAAGGGCTCTCCTGGCCAGCAAACATTTGTGGAGCGCAGCCTGTGTTCAAGGTCGGGGGAGGGGGCAGGACTCTCCTTAGGCAAAGGATTCAGAAGTGATGACATCCTCCCACTTGGCTCGGAAGGGTGTCTATGTTCCTGTCCTTAGGTGAACACTTTTTTAACACCCACTCTACACACACATCTACAATCAAACCTACCCCTTGAGCGGCAGAGCCCTGAGTGTGTGAAGACCTGGAGGTGAGGGCCACTTGCTACCTCAGACTCTCAGGACATCTCTTGAGGTCCGGTCACCTCTCTACCCCATTAAGGTCGGCTTAATGACCTGGGGCAGACAAAACAAACAAAAACAAAAACCAGGGGAGCATTGGGTAGGGCGGGGCAGGAAAAGGGACTCTCCCTTGGGGCGGGACCAGCAGCAGACCTGCTAAGTAAAGCTGGGTGGTGAGGGTGGCGGCAGCGGCTGAGACATAGCAGAGAGCACCATGAGCGGACAAGTCGGGGACCTGAGCCCGCAGCAGCAGGAGGCTCTGACCAGGGTGAGGGGTGAGGCGGGAGGGGAGGCACGGGAGCCAAGCTGAACCCACATTGGCTACAGCTTTATTTTGGGACTGGATGTTGAAGCCAGCGCCTCCTGTGCACTGTTCTGAGACTGGCAGTGCCTGGGTCAGGACCCCCTTCTCTCTACCTCTGAGCAACTGCTAGGGTGTGTGTGTGTGTGTGTGTGTGTGTGTGTGTGTGTGTGTGTGTGTG